GTGCCAAATTTCCCCAAAAGTTTTCAATTGGTCTTGTTTGGGGCACATTTGGAGGTTTGGATTCTTTATCAACGAAATTGACATATTCCTCCATCGAATTTAGAGAATCTTTAGAATAATGAGAAATCTAGCCCAAATAAATAGTTAAAATATCATGATTCTTGTGAATGAATAAATAAGTCTTTTTTCTAAACAGACCCTTAAGATTTGCTCAGACCCTTTCTTTTTTATTATCTTTTTATCAAAGCATTAATTTATTTTTATTATTTTTATATTATTATTATTCTTTTATCACAATATTTTTATATTACAGCATGTTTTAGCATCCTTAGCCACTATTTGTTTTAAGCTTTTTGAATTTTGACTGGATCAGATATTTTCCAGACTCTTTAAATGTGTCTTTTAATACTTCTCCATGTTTCTATAAAACTAACAAGAAGACCATATAAATAAATTAAAGAATTTTAGTAAACAGTTTTAACAAGCATGAACAAACTTTTATAAGAAATGTTTTTGAAGGAAATTTTGTAAGAAATGTTTATTTAAAAGTTTTTATAAAACTTAATAACAAGATCGTTGTTTGTGAATTAACATGAGATCAAAAGTTTTCATGAAATAAAAAAATTGTGTTTTCTGTTATTTTATGTACAACAAGCATAATCAATGTTATGTATAAGAAACATAATCAATCTGTTATATAGTTATAAATAATTGACTTTGATGGCGTTAAAAAAAGTTATTTTGAATTGAAAGTATAAGTCATTATGTGTTCAGAGGAAAAACACAAAATGACTCAAAATCAGAGAGAAAAAAAAAAATTGAATTCAAAGAATAAATTTTCCTAAATAATTGACTCTGCTGGAGATTTTTTTAAACAGTTTTTTTTGTAACTTGTAATTTTTTTCTGCTTTCTTACTTATAATTTGTTATCTATGATTTGTTATTTTTTATGTATTTTTTAAAAGATTCTTATGCTTTAATTTTTTAACTTTTTTTTACATTTGTTAAGTGTAATTTTTTTTTTTTTTCAAAGTTTGAATTATTTATCTAAATACTGATTAATATTTTGTAATATCTTAATTTTAACAACTTTCTACTTATAACAACTTTTACTTTTAACAATTTTTACTTTTAACAACTTTTACTTTTAACAACTTTTAACAATTTTCTACTTTTTATTATTGTAGCTGTTATTTAATATATAAGCTTTTGTGTGGAATTTTTTATGTCCTAGTGCTTTTTATTATTATTATTATTATTATTATTATTGCTATTATTATTATTATTATTATTATTGTTATTATTATTATAAATACTTTTTTTTTTATCATTATTATTATTATTTATATATATATATAAAGTTCTACTTTTTTAGTGTTTATTTTCGATTAGTAGAATTACTATTTGTAAATATTCATGAAAATATTTTTTCAGAATGTTAAAATAAGTTAAAAAAACGTTCATAATAAATTGAATTTTCAAACTTGTTTTTAATCAATTTTAAATTATTAACAAAATCATAAAGTTTTTTGGAAAACTATAGAAAAAAAGAAAGTAAAATTTTATGAATAAGACTAAGAAATAAATAAAGAAATAAATAAAGAACTATAAAGGAATAAGTTTATATATAAGTTTATTTCATAATTTTTTTTTAAACATTCTGACATATTGTTAATAAATTAAAACTTTTTTTTCAAGACATGGAACAAGATGCGCTGGTGTTGCAGCAGCAGTTGCAAATAATTCAAATTGCATTGTGGGTGTAGCCTACGAAGCTAGAATTGGTGGTAAATTGTTAAAATATTTTTTGTACAAACAATTTTTTTTTAAATGTCATTCCCCTCACCAAGGCCAAGATGGCTACTACAGTTACAGGCTATTTTATTGTGGTTACAACCCTTTTTAACTCCAAAACATGAACCTTGGCAAACATGGCTGTTGCAGGGAAAAACAAGTTGAGCACATTACTACCTGGGACAAACTCAGAATTTCTGACCTATGAAGCGTTCTGGTTTATACCACTATGATATACTTGTTCAAAAAAGATTTTTTAATAATACATATTGAGTAGCAATGTATTAAAGTAATTCGGTTAAAAGCAGTGACTTTTTTGCTGAATCTTTTGCTTCATCAAATTTCTTTTAATTAACTAAGTTCTTATATTACTTATAAACAGTTTTTTTTAACAGTTTTGATGAAGGCCTTCTTAACAGGTCACAACAACTTCATAAACTTAGTGAAGACCAACTTTTTTATGTTTTTCAATGAATATTTTAGTTTGATTTAAACTATTATAGTAAAAAACTATTAAAGTTATACTCATAAAAAGCCTAATGTTGCGTTTATGGTTGTTCCTCAAATTTCAAGTCAAAAATAAAAGATGTTTTTATCTTAATGTATAGATTTCCTTTTATAACACAATGTATAGATTTCCCTTTGTCACATATATAGTATACATATAAAGTATACATATATAGTACACATGTATAGATTTTCCTTTATGTCACAATGTATAGATTCTCCTTTATGTCACAGTGTATAGAATTCACTTTATGTCACAGTGTATAGAATTCACTTTATGTCACAGTGTATAGAATTCCCTTAACAAATGTACTAAAGGCACTTGTATCGCCTTTAAATCCGAGGGTTGCGAGTTATGGATTAAAAAACTTCCAAATGCAAACTTTGTGTTAACAAATTGTAAGCAAATTTTTTCTACGTACTGACCTAAAGATGCAGAATTAAAATAAGTCAATAGTAGTAGTTTTGCTTCAATGTATCCTCCATCAATCTTTAAAGGTATACCATTGTCTTGTATTCCAATAGTGTTAGCAAAACTTTAAAAAAAAGGCACTATTCAATTAAATTCAATTGTAAAAAATTTGAAATCAATGATAAATAACTGAGAAGAAATATTTTATTTTGTTGAAATAGAAAAAATATTTATCTTTAGTATCATATGAACATTGTAAGTTATCAATATATATAACTTCAGAAGATTCTGGAGATATTTATTTTACTGTATATAGCCAACTTTTACAAATTACTTTTTTAAAGTCTTTTTTAAACAAGGGACTTATTAAACATAATTTTTAACTGAAGAATATTTATGTTATTAATAATGAAACAGATTCTAAGCGAGCAAGTTATATTAGGCATCACTTAATTAAATAAAACAAACAATACCCCATTTTCTTTAGAAGACATTTCAGATGCATTGCATCTTTATTCAAAATCTCGATCAGTATATTTTGATCTCGTAAGCTTGTTTTGCCAAGCATACAAGAGTTACAAGGAATTGCAAAGTAAATAAACTTGAGATACTGAATATTTAAAAATGTTATTTAAGGAGCTTCAGAAATTTCAAAAATATTGCTTTATTTTGGTTGATGAGAAATAAATCCTGGGGAATAACTGTCCAGTAAATCAAAAAATATTTCAATCCAAAAAATGATAAAATTATTTTAATGGCACTGTGCATATTTTAAAATGTATTTAAAATAATTGGATTACTGAAAAATTACAATGTTTAAAACATAAGTTGCTAAATGATAACAATACTGTGCTACTTGCAGAATGAAAATTTTTAATTCAACTTTATGCTGTAGATAATCGAATTGTTAAGTTGTCACCATTAATACAAAAAGCTGTGTCATCAAAACCAATTGAACCACAAAATTTTGGATTATTTCTTAAGGTTTTTTGTAATTAAACAGTTACAGCATTGTTAAATTTCCTAAAGCTGAAGATACAGCTCTTTTCATTGAAACAGTTGTCAGGTGGTGGCTTATTGTCAACAGTAAAGCAAAAGGTCTAGATATTAGATTAAACAATATTTAAAGAAAGCTTCAGTCAATGATTGGCAACATATCTTATCTGAAATTAAGCTGAAAATTTAAAATGAGTAAATTGAAAATTAAGAGGAAAAAAGTTGACGATGGATGCTATGAGTGCCTTGCAAGTTTTCTAAAAGGTAAGCAAGCGGTGCAAAGTATTTGTTGAATTGCGGTGTACATTATGCATTGTTAGGACATATGCAATCAGATGCACTACAAAAACAGTTAAGGAAATATCGGCAAGTGTCAGGTGGCACAAATCTGATAAATGTGCAAAATGTTAATAAAAGATTTAAAATTGATAAAACTATAAAGCTGCAAGACAAGCTAGCAGATCTTACAATATTTCCTCCTGCTCACCACCACTGCAATAAGTGCTTACCCCTAAAGTGTTTTTTTCTAGGGGAGTCTTGCTCTAACTCTAATTTATTTATAGATAACCGCACATTAAATTTGAACTAAACAAGTTTTAAATTAACTAAACAAGTTTAATTTATTTTAGAGATGTGGTATAAGTAAAATAAATTGTGTTAATATAAAATAAAGTTGAGTTAATATAAAGTAACTTTATATAAAGTAAATATAAGGTAATTGCTAAAGTTATTATAATGTAATTGTTTCCTTTATGATGTAATTGCTAAATGTAGTGTTAGTATAATGCAGTTGTTTGCTTTATATAATGTAATATTATTTTATTGAAACTTGTATAATTATATAAACAAATATATGTTTTTAAAAGTAGCTAGTATATTTAATTACAGGAATTCGAATGTTAGATGGGGAAATTACAGACTTGATTGAAGCTCAATCTCTCAGTCATGAGCGTGGATATATTGACATTTACAGTTCTTCTTGGGGTCCACAAGATGATGGTGAAACAGTGGAGGGGCCTGGTTTTCTTACTCAAATTGCTTTAGAGTTTGGAGCAAAATATGCAAGTTTATTTGATGTTTAAAAAATTAAACACTTTTGGTCGGTCCTGATAATGACCATTATGATAATGATCACAATCATTGTGATACTGGAAATCATCATGATTATGAACATTATGATTATCATAATCAGGATTGATTAATTAATTAATGATAATGTAATAATAAAATGATGATAATAATCATTGCCATCATCATGTTATTTTTTGTTTAGGGAAGGCAAGGCAAAGGA